TCCAAATAAAACGATGCTAATAGAGATGATTTGTATAATAAATACAAAGACTTAGAGTCGTTTCTTCTATTGAATAGATCGATTTATAGAAATCTTCCACTTTGTCTCGAATTTGTACCAACCGCGGTCAAGGTCACTAGATCAACGGGTTGCTTATGGTAACAATTTTTTAACTGGTCTCTTGCTATTAGATTTTGCCTATCTTATTCCTTAAAACAATCGCATGCCACAATTATATGATTGTGGCATGCAGTTTAGACACTTGCTAGCAAGTGCCACATTAAAGCTTTAATGACCAGAGTTGTTGACCAAGCTGAATTTTTAGTCCACTAAATTCGGTTATTTGACTAGTCAATCGTCGTGCGTTTTTACCGTTGTTATGATGTTGCATTCTTACTGTCATGCATTGTTTTGTGCATAATTGCGCATATAATTATGCAAAAAATAAGTCTTTTTTCACCTGACCTCGTTCAGTCTTTTACTTGAATTTCCTCCTCATACCTGTCTATCTTCCAATGCCTGCCATTATGGACATTTAAAATTGGCAGATCTATTTTTGGTGCTTTGCTCCCATGCATAATAGGCTCTATTTGAAGAGTGAATACTTGCATGGAAATATTTAAATGAGTTTTTTTTCCAAGGCTGCAAATCCGTGTAAGTCTGCGGTGGTTGGTTGCATGCCCCCTTAGATACCATATATTTTTTAAAGTTTAGTTACGGTAAGGACCTTATCCCGTGCGCTGTCGGCTTGTGACGTCGACTGAAGTATGCGAGGAAATTCGTGACTTAACCGTCGACAGGCTTGCATGATCCACTCCAGACTTGGATAAACTGGAATTAATATGCGCTGTCTTCTGGTCCTTGAACCTTGATTCCATTATCTCACTCTTGCAACGCGAGGGCTTCGTCTTTTCAGTGGCGACCAGGGATGTAGTTTTTTTTCTCTCTCTCGTTAGGATCGTTCGCCTGTTAGATTAAGAAACACCTAGGTTTTGCAAATTATTCAATGCTTTGAACTATTCTTATGGCTATAAATTTACTGTGTTGTGCTGCCTACCTGTCCCCATCAGAATTTCTCAAATGACCCTTTTGTTTACTTTTTGTCCAAGAATATATAGGATTTTTGTGGGACTCCGGTAATAGCATACCTCTTATCTTGTTGAGGCAAACTGAACAGTTCAACAGTTTTAAAGTCCTTCTTTTAGTTTCATAATAAAAGTTCTCGTCACCCGTGACTGAAAAATGTGCTTCCTAAGTCAACCTGAGTTGGCGTAACTTTTCTTATAAGCTATCTTTTCACATTCATTTTTTAGAATTTTTCTTGCGTGGGTTGCTTTAAAACACATACGTTCAAATTGAATCAAAAAGCTACTGAAGAACGACGCATTGGACTGTTTGTCTTCTGTGCAATTCGACTGGTCTATCTCTAAAAATAATTTATTTGCCTGAACTTTTGAATCGGGGCTTGGGTTTATCTTCGTAGATAAAAAAATCAAACGACAGCTTAAATTTTGAATAAGAGAAGTAGCTCTATCGCATGCCTTTTTGGCCAGTTTTATCGATCTTCATAACGGTTGTTACTCTTGTAAGTTTGTTTAGATTTTTAGCCTGACTGAATAGTGCTTGGTTTGAGGGTCCATTTCTGACATCTTTGACCAGCGCTGCTTGACTTAGTTTCCACGCCCGGATTACCTTGAGCATTATTTTAGCGACGCGTCATATTACTTTTGCTGAGACCGTGTGATTCTGCTCTAGGTGGTGACTCAAAGGGTTCTTTCTATCCCCCTGGAAATAAAATCTTATAGTGTATATCTTCCAATTAATTTTACATAGTGTCTGTGACCCTGTTGTACAACTTGACCGGGAGCAACATTTTCGGTTAGCTCTAATACTCTCTATGATCATCTATTTAACCTTGCTTTTGCTATGATAATGATTTTTTCGGCTTTAGGAGGCTGTCAGTTCCACCCCAAAATAAATCTGGAAGTTTAGACTTCGAAGCCTATTTTCACTCTTCACACACACACTTTGTAAACTGGGACCTTTCCGCTTTTAGAAGATTTTGCCCCTAATTTAGCATTATTTATTACTTTACACGTTTAACCTTCATGTCTAACTAAGATAATATTTTTAAACCGACTCATATATACGTCTAAGTAACGCAGTAACTATTTTCAATACTCGCCGTTATTTTAGCCATTGTATTGGCTATTCGAATGGCAAAAAGTATACCAGTAAAATGCTAACCTCGTCCACCTTCGCCTTCTCTATCGAACATTCAACCAATTGCTCTTGCTATCTGATATTTTAAGGGATCATTACAGGTCTAGTAATTAATATTGAGGAAATAAAATGTACGTAAGGATCTCCGACCCGTCTCCTGTATATTCGTCACCCGTTGAGCTGTTCCCATGGGAGACTTTTACACGGAAAAACGACACAGATTTGCATTCCTGAGTATCATTACTTGTGTGAGTTGACATTTTGGGGATGTTGAATAAATCATCATGCTGAGCATCATTTTACGTAATTTCACCTGTCTTTCGTATCTTTTGATGTCTCATGCGCCACCTAATCAGAATTTTGGAAAATTACAAAAGCGTTAATTTTGTTGTTTATTCTGTCTATTAGGGGATCTCTAATAAAGACACGCATATATTTCCCCGCGCTCTGTCAGGCAAATTTCCACGTTTTCCAAGCGCGGCCTTAAAGTGCTACAGTAAAATGGCACATGTCACAATTATTCATGACTTAATGTGGCTGTCCTTTGTTTTTCCACCTGCACATGACGTATTAAAAAATTATGTAAGATCCCTTTTTACGAAAAAAAGATGCTTCTTATTCGTTCCACTCCTCACAAAGGAGTCTACCAGGAATCATTGGGTCGCTGTTCCTTTTCATTTTCTTCACTCGAGAACTATTTGCTTACATCTGCCGCCCGTTTGCTAGTCGCCTCCTATTTCTTTGCTTTGGACTGCTTTTACTTTTAGGATTATTAAACGTTCCTACCTGCCCATCTCACATTTCCTTTTTACGATCTTCGACTTTTTCTTCAGCATGTCTTCATCAGCCCTGATGAACACGAACTGGAGTGCTTGGAACAATGTCTTCTCCAGAGAATGCAATTTGGCCAGGGCGAATGCTTCCTCGAAATCGGCGTTGGTGGTTAGTACTCTTCACGTTTAATGGAATCCCTTCGTTTTTTACCAGCAGAGCTATGCATCACTTATTTTAAACTGTTTTTTTGCTCACGCTTTCTCCTTGACAACTTTGAAAATTGGAACTCTCCCTTTATGGTACAACGTTAGGCTTTGCTTTTAACATGGTTTACATTCCGTTTTGACTCTTTTTTTGGGTTCTTGCTAATCTCTCAGAAACTTGTACTTATACTTGATAGTCACGGCCAAAAGTGCCGTGGCAAAAACCGTCGCGACTACAGTCGGTTAGGTGGCGTACCATCCCCACTGCATTCCAGCTATTTGTCTGAGTAGGCAGCCAATATACACAACCTCAAACGGTTCTTGAGAGGCCAGATATATTCTGCTCAAGTTCTAATGTTCGAGACAGATAGGAATTTAAATCCGTATTAATTTTTGAAAATGATTCACCGAACATCCGTTTCTTGTGTTCAGAGGGTCAGGATCCAGGCCTCTCGTCCGCAGACATTGCTGCCAGTGTGGTCACGGCCGAGGCGCTAGCGAAAAAGTTGGATGCACGTCTCATTCTCCTGCGCGACCGCCATGTACAGCCAACTGGCAAGCAACAACAACAGCACTTACAACCGTCCCCTACCGACAACACACAAGATGGGACGAGCTCAGGCGAAATTTCTACGAGCGCACCGCATCCCAAGGGCCGCAATCGGCGAAAAAACCAGCGTTCTAAGGAGCCACCCGTAGCTGAACAAGTACACACGGAAAACGAGCTCACCGAAGAGATGCAGGAGGGCAGTGCCTCGGTGACGGGAACCAACGACTGGCTA